CTACACAGTGATCACCTGGAGCAGTGGGCCGTGGGTGTCTTGGAATAAGAGACCACCTCCCATCCCATCCTCCTCACGTCAATACTCCTAGCGCACCCCCTATCCCACTATCCTACCTCAGTGTCACCAGCACCCAGGACTATTACCCTACCAATGGGCAGACAACTTGGACCAAACAGCAGTGATAGGCACCAGGGCTGATAGATTGCCCAGCCGTGGTGGAAGCGGAAGCGGAATCGGACGAACGGGAACTTCGGACGCCAGGCCCAGACAATCTACTACAGGCCCCAAGAGACTATCGACCCTAGGTTCCGACAGGGTAGCACCCACTGAAGCAGTCTTACGGTCCTTCCCGTAGCGTACCCAAGGCCAGGCGGAACTCTAGACTGGCCTGAGCGACTTATATCCCTACCCTTGCCCTAGGGTCTAAGCCTCTTATATAGCCACCAGACAGTTCTATCCCAATGTCAGTAGGAACCCCTTACCTGATCCTCATCCTCAGTACCTCACAGAGACATTGCACAGTATCAGCATTGCAGAGAAGTGGTCCTCGACAAACACCCTCCAAGGCAAACAGCGTGCATTCAGGATCCTCGCTGCCGCATGTTCAAACTTCGAACCACGGGTACCATTTCCCTAGCTATATTATGTTCGGGGGCAGCACTTCAAACAACACCTTGTCCGTCGGGGCTTGGCCTGCCAAATCAGAAAGGCTACTGCACCCCCGGCAAAACGAAGGCATTTTGTGCCCAAGCCCGTTTAGCAAGGCTTGGCACACAGTGGATGTCCGAAAAAGAGCCTCAGACATACTGGTGGTTTACGACAACTGCTAAATGCCAGCCCTGAGAAATGTCAGAAACATTCGACAAACACCCAGCGAACTCCTTTCATAGTCGTGTATGATTGTATCGACCTACGTTCACAACCCCTACACGAACAAATTCTGCGATTTAACTCTTTGCCGCAGATCGTCTCTTTTTTTTTTTTTTTTGCAATCCTTCTTCCACCATCAATCCACCCTTCTCATGGATCTTCGACACTATGTAGTATGTACCATAGATAACACTTTCTCCAAGTTCATCGGACTTCACATGAACCCTATCCCAGTCAATGTGTGCGACGGAACCTACGTGTCACACACAAACTGTTCGAACCTTGTGGTCCAACCAGTTCCCCACTGTCACATGCACAGCCCATTGCAACCCAATTGTCACGTACCTCTCTTTCACCGTGTCACACCTCCCCTAAATTTCAAATATATCGCCAGCCTCTCACCATTGTCACAGCATCCTATCCTCAGGACATTGGCGGTCTCAAAACATCCCACTGGACAACACTGTCCCAACGCCATTGGCCTCATCATTCTGGTGTCAGCATGAAGGGCTTATCGGAATGGGATCTGCATTATCACGGTCATTAGCACTTCTCACCGCAATTTCTTTTTTGCATGGCCGTTTACGCGCCGCAATTTCTGGGGGTCACCACACACTTCAGCAGGCCGTTGATGAAATCCATCTGCAGCCCATCGGAAGGCAGTGGCTGGGAAAAGTGCTGGTGGTTTAAGAGAGCGCAGAAAGGCGAACAAACATTAGAAGGTACTGTTCTGGAGGGCTGCGGATGTGAAGGTTCCTCACGTTGTGGTCGAGATGCTACAGTCTGCCCCCGAACAAAACGCACGTATGTCCTTTTCAACTTTCCCTGGAAAAGTCTATTTCTCAAAGTCACCCCTGGAAATCCAAATACTACGCACGTATGTTCTATCCAAATAGTACACATGTATGTTCTATTCAAACATACGCGTGGTCTATTCAAGTAGAACACATGAGTGCTCTATTTGAATTACTGTGGCCAGGTGTTTTGCTCAGGAACGAGCCCCGTTTTTTGTCTCTGTGCATTTACTTGCGCGGGGTTCAGACGGCAGGAGGCAGCTCGCCACATTTTTTGTCAGCAGTGTGCATTTACTTGTAGGTGTTTACAGCTCTCTCTCTCTCTCTCTCTCTCTCTCTCTCTCTCTCTCTCTCTCTCTCTCTCTCTCACGGAACCGCCCCCTCCTTATCCTGGCTGCTCGCTTCCTGCTGCTCCCTCCAACAGGGGTGTGGAGATAGCATATCTTTTTTCTTCATTATTATAGATTTCTTGGATGTTTTTCTTCCCTATCTCTTCTCTTCTCTATACTCCTAAAGCAAGCAAAGGGCCCAGCGTGACACGTCACGCCGGGCCCAGAGAAAATCGGTGTGGAGGGGCGCGGGACTTGGGCGAGGAAAGCGGATGCGGCGTTTCGTGGAGGCCCGGGGCAAGGGAATAAGGGCGCGGTGTTTCGCGGCGGTACCGCAGAGGCGGCCTGGGGGAAGGGAATAAGGGTGCGCCGGTCGGCAGTGGTACCCCAGGCGAATAAGGGTGCGCCATTAATAAGGGTGCGCTGTTTCGCGGCGGTACCGCAGGCGCCGCCGTGTGCGAGTGCGAAAGCGCTGTGTGAGTGCAGAAATGCGGTGCGGTGCCGAACGCTGCCGTGTGCGATCGCTGGTATAATCTCCGGAATATACGTGCGGTGCGGTGCCAAGCGCTGCCGTGTGCAATCGTGAAAGTGCGGTCCGCTACCGAGTGCTGCCGTGTGTGACCGCGAAAGCGCGGTGAGGTGTGTGTGTGTGTGTGTGTGTATGTGTGTGTGTGTGTGTGTGTGTGTGTGTGTGTGTGTGTGTGTGTGTG